AAAAAGGTTTGTTAGTGTGTTCGATACGTGTTCAATATAAAGGGGAGATCATGTGCCATTGTGATGTCAAACTGCAGGGTTTTGTCCTTTAACTTTTTTCGCTGTTATTCACATGAATCTTGCACAATTGGAAACTTTCTTCACCAGAACTAAAAACGCTTTTAGATAATTTTGTGGGTGATTATTTTCAGTCAATGTTATTGGCTAAATAATAATAAAAATATTACAACTTGACTAGGTAGATCCAAGTTAATTGAAAATGAATGCAACATGAGAGATATAATTCAAAATTTCAAGTTTTCACCTCACAATAGAGTTGAAAAAAGGGTGATGTGATGTTAACCCACGCAGCAATAGCAGCTCCGAAATCTACAAAAGATTGAATCAACCCAATAAAGTCAAGAAATTAAAGTTTAGAGTTCGATCCAAAAATAATGAATCAAAGAACCAATACAATCGCCGACAATATATTGACCCTCATTCTTCCTAATCTAGCATCTACTAATATTCCTTCATCAATGTCACTACTCGCTTCATTAATCATCACAATTCTCAACCCTAGGCTCCCGCTTACTTTGCCTCATTGCAGTGTGAATTTCTCTTGGTTGACCCCTATTAAATTGGCAAGCAATGAGGTCTTCCTTTCCATCCTCTCTTCTTGCTTATCCAACCCGTCCCTCACATCTTCAAAATAATCTCTTGAACCATTGTATCAATTCCTCCAATATGTTGACTTGATTGTTGTTCCTGCTTGAGGTAGAATCGTCTCTGTCATACATCCTAAATCTATACGAGTGTTTGCTTTATGTGTATACGCTCATATATCACTCAAATTGACTTTTTCTTTCTAATAGTTTTACAACTTTTGTATTTTTCCACTCAATGCTTTTGTCCAGGTGCTTCAGAGAACTAATTCGATCTCAACCAAGTTTTATTCTCGAAGAATTCAAATTAGGATGTGAGTGAGAATTTGTAACTTAGAAGACTCAAGAAAGGAAGAAAGGAATAAGCAAAAAGAATTTGACACATTTGAATGAGAACTATATTCATTCAAGAAAGTGGTTCTTGAATTTTGGTAGGACACGATTGTTACATATATATAACAACGAAATTGAACATTGTCAGTAATTTTCAAAATATTTTTCTGGTTAAAAAATTCAACTATGTACGATACCAGCAAAAAAGAAATAAACTTATTTGAGTGCTAAATTAGCTCAAAAATAACTTTTGAATTTTATTGATATTTTTATTTTATGGATTGAAGACTCAGAAAACGAAGAACATGAAGGATGAAAGGAAAAACAAAGGACTTAAACAAAAAAAAAATGATATAACCTTAATTTTTGGAACCTAAACTCTGATACCAATTAATGCAAACTCACATAGCTATAGTAACTCCAAAACCTACAAACATTGAAGCAATCCAAGAAAACCAAGAAATCAAAGTTTAGAGTTCGATCAAAAAATAATGAACCAAAGAATCGCGATAATATATTGATTATGTGTTCACTAGATTTAAGAATCTCACTTGAATAGTTAAAATGTCACTAGAAATAATTTTTGATAAATTCGTAATATTAGTTCAATGAAGAATAAGGAATTCAAAGCAAAAATTGCTCACAAAATAATCTCTCAATTTTGATGTCTAAATGAATGTCTTTAACAATATAAATAATGAGTCCTATTTATAGGGAACTTATAAAATCCTAACAAAAAAGGAATTGAAATGTAACAATACTAAAAGTTACCATAAAGTAGAGTTTTTTAATATAAATAAAAGATATTGCGAAAATTGAAAAAGATTTTTGCGACCATAATGAACTATGCGGCTGCATAGTGTACTTCTATGTCGTCGAATAGACCATGCAAAATTTTGCCAGTTAGCCTCGGTATTGAGCTGGCAATTATGTGGTTTCATAGTTGAAGTCTCTCTTGTCTCCGGTCGTCGCTTATACCAAGTTAATCCACTCAGTGTCTTTCTTCGAACCCAACATGAAATTTGTTGATTTGCTTACACTGATCAATGTTTCGTCCACTGTGACTTGAGCAAATAATTTTAACCCTCTTCGCCCGTGACCTAGTCATAAGCCCTTCTTCAATAATCAATGGATCCTTACTTGGATTTGCCTTCGTTCCTTTGATCACATCATGATGTTATGAAAAGTCAAAGTGATGGAGATCAACAACTTCGAGTACGCGTCTTAATGGTTATGATAACATGAGACAACACTACCTATATTCTCTCTCGACATTCTTAGGAATGGGTAAAGACATGCAAACTTCTGTACATATTGATATTCGCCCTACATCAACCAAGGTCGAGCCTATATAGAGATAGAGTAATGTTATTTAGCACTACCGATATTACAATACCATATAAGTTTAGGTGTTATTAAGTGATATTAAATGAAATGTACAATTAAATAAGTAATTTAGTTTTAGATTTCATTAAGGCACTCATACAATATCATCTAAATTAGTGTCGTAGCACCATGTATACTAGATAAAGTTGATTTATGAAGGCAAGTATAGAAGTCAAGCAAAGAATAAGATAACGAGTCACGCTACCTGTACAAAATATGTTGACAAAGTTGGTTTACAAAACATTTACACCAATAATTTCAAAAACACTTTTTAAATCATTTGAAATCAAAGGTCAAGATTCTGCCAACACTTGTTTTGTTGACTTATTTTCTACAACTAGATTACTTGTAAGATAGCTTGCCTTAAGCTTCTCGTAAAAGAATTCATAGAGATAGGACCTTTGTGTCTCTCCATAAGATTCTCCCTATGCCCCATATTCTCTCTCGAAGTAGCATTGGAGAAAGAGTCCTATATGCATTTTAGATATAGAAGCAACCTAGCATTACTATTAATGGAGGAAGGCGAGATTTGCTTAGATATCATTGTTGGCCATGTTTTAAAACATAGTATCTCTTATTTTTTTTTGTCCAAAATGTCAATTTTGATGCAGGAATTTATATCATCGAAGTTTTACAAACTTGTAATTGATTACGCCCTTGTTTGAGCCACATTATTTCAACAAGAATACATTTTTGAATAGTGTATTGATGAGAAATGTGTGGTTAAAAAATTAAGAAAAAAGTTTTGAATTTTACGTGTAATATTATTTTATTGAAAAATGTTTGCTTGAAATGATATCAAATCACTATTTAAGAATGTAATTTTTTTTTTTAAATGTGGGTCAAACACATATTTATATTTGTGAAAAGGGTTGTTATTCTAGTAACTAGTTATATTTAAGGGAAAATTGCAGCCGACGTACCAAACCTTTTGTTTATTAGTAGACTTTGTCCAAACCTTTCATTTGTGCCACCCACCGACGGTACCAAACATTTCAAAAATTCTCACTTGAAATCCAAATAGATAGTTTCTGTTAGTTAATCTGTTAGTTGATCATAAGTCCATGAACTGACCAAATGTTGACTAATTTTAAAAGGTTAAAACGGTAAATTTATATTTTCTATAATAAAACAATTAAAAATACAAATCCACTTCATCTTCCCCACTCACCCCTCACACCCCCATCCCACCCAAACCCTAAAAGAAAAAAACTAAAACCCACCTACTTCCCAGACACCGTCACCCACCGCACCGCCACCATCTCACCCTCTTCCGCCATGCCACGCTTGCATCCATTCGCCCTGGCTACTTTGCCGTATCCTGTCTAGGAACCACCAAGTCCAAACACAAAATTGCCTTCTTGTTCCTTACAAATTTAGATCTCCATTTTGCCAGATTTGGGAACTCTTCTTCAACCACCACCAAGGACTTTACAATATCTATATCCACACCGATCCCTTCTCCAGAATTACTCCTCCTGGTGAGGGCATTTGAAGGCCGTTTCATCGCCGCGAAACTCACTTAACATGCCACCCCCACTCTCATCTCCGCCGCATGCCGCCTCCTTGCCACCGCCCTCCTTGATGACTCTTTAAATTCCTACTTCGCCATCGTCTCCCCGAACTACATCCCGCTCCACTCATTCCAATTTATGTATAATACTTTACTTTATTCATCAAAAACAAATCTGGTATTTTTAGTTTCGAATTTCAGATCTAAAACACAAAGTTAGTTGTTGAGAGCTTTAGCCGAGGTATTGGTGAAGGGAAGACGATGGTGGCAGTTGGCCTAGGTGGCGACAATGGTCAGCGGCCAGGGTAGCAGTGGCAATGGTGACCTGGGTGCGGTGGCAGTGATTTTGAGGCAAAGAAGAATTGGGTTATCCTTTTTTATTATTTATTATTTAATTTTTTTTAATTTATATAAAAAATGTAAATTTACCCATTTACCCTCTGACAGATTAGTCAACATTTGGTCAGATCATGGACTTACGGTCAACTAACAGTCAAAGTAACAAAAACCATCAATTTGAACTTCAAGTGAGAATTTTTGAAAGGTCTGGCATCATGGGTGGCACAAATAAAATGTTTGGACAAAGTCTGCTAATAAATGAAAGGTTTGGTACCTCGATTGAAATTTTCCCTAAATTTAATTGCCAAAACTTCACGATAAATTCATGACTAAATCTTGTCTTAATTTCTTTTTGACTAATTATTCATAAAGAAAAAGGAAAAGAAGATTACTATGATATCCCTATAAACCCCCTTTTCAATGCTATTTCAAAAAATGAGAAAAAATAAAAATTTAAAGAATCAAGGTTAGGTTTACTATGGTTTTTATACCCACCGGTTTCACTTGCTAGTCAGCAACTCTATCGCATTTTCGCTATAAAAACACTCTTGTCACTCACTCTCTCTCCCCATTATTTGCTCCACTCTGTCTTGCCAGTTCAGTCCCTCTCTCTCTTCCTTGTCTGCAAAATGCCGCAATACTTCTCTGTCTCTCTTCTATCTTAAAGCTATAGAAAGAACAAGAAGTATTGCTTGGTTCACACTGAGTAAAGTACAGATCTGTACTGAGCAGTGAGCATCCCCTGTTTCAGAGAGAGAGAGAGAGAGAGAGAGAGATAAGCAAAAATGGCTGAGGTTTCTGCGAAGAGTTTTATACCGGAATCATTCCCGGGATCGACGAGTGATATTGCCGGCCAAATCGGGCTCCTATGGGAACTGATTAAAGCTCCATTGATAGTGCCTCTGCTGAGAATTTCTGTATACATATGCCTGGCCATGTCCATTATGGTGTTCATCGAGAGACTTTATATGGGAGTCGTTATAATCCTTGTTAAACTGTTTATGAAGAAGCCCGAAAAGAGATACAAATGGGAGCCAATGCGTGATGATTTGGAGATTGGCAACGCTGCTTTTCCTATGGTTCTTGTTCAGATCCCCATGTTCAATGAAAAAGAGGTCTACTCTCTCTCTCTCTCTCTCACACACACACACACACACACACTGGAATGTGAGAAAAAATTGCTAATATTTTCTTGATTTTTGACAGGTTTATAAGATCTCCATTGGAGCAGCTTGTAATCTTTCGTGGCCTGCTGACCGTTTGATTATTCAAGTTCTTGATGATTCTACCGATTTCGTAATCAAGGTATACATCACATCACAAATCCTCAATTTTGATTTTTTTAAACATATTTACCGTTTATTTTTATTTTTTAAGAATGATGATTATAATTATGTTAATTATTGATTAGTTTTTGAGAATATCATTAATTACGTGTCTAAAACCGACATTATTATTGGCTGTTTTTTTCTTGGGTTTGTAATTAAAATCTAGCCCCACGTTGTAGGATATGGTCGAGAAAGAATGCATTAGATGGGCAAGCAAAGGCATTAACATTAGGTACCAAATTAGAGAAACAAGAGGGGGTTACAAGGCAGGAGCTCTTAAAGAAGGTCTCAAACGGGACTATGTCAAAGATTGTGAATACGTCGTCATTTTCGATGCTGATTTTCGACCCGAACAGGATTTTCTTCAGCGAGCCGTTCCTTTTCTAGTACACAATCCCAATATTGCCCTCGTACAAGCTCGATGGAGGTTCGGTAGGTTTCACACTCTTAATAGCAATTAGCTACGCTCTCTTATATGTTATATGCAAAAGCGTCGGTGGTATTGTTATGTTGTCATTAATGCTATTATATGTAACAGTAAGTGTGTAGGCATAATGGTAATTTAAAAAATATAATTAATTACATATTCTATTGGTTATTTTTCTTTTTAAATTGGTGCTTCTTGGAATGTTGCAAAATCATGTGTGGTTATAGGGTCCACCAAGACACTATTACTCATGTCATGGGTCTATTTACGTGCCCATCGGCCACACATCACGGCGATAAAGTTGGTTTAGGGTTTAACAACTAACATTTAATAATATTACAAAATAATAACTAATGTTTACCTAGCACTTAGTCATGGATTGAGTTTCCGGCTAAACTCGTCTTGGTTCGATACATGAGTCGCTTGAGTTCATTTTGAGTCGAGCTTATTTTTCCCACGAGCCAACTCGTTTGTGATCATTACAAATTTGTAACATTTATGTATACATGTATATTCTATAGGGAAACAATAAATAAAATACCTATTCTTAAGGGGTCAATGAATGAAATATTAATTCTTGTCTTGATTTTGCAAAACGGTCTTAATTAGCCCATTTAACTATCTTTAATTAGCCTAATGAGGTGCAGCGTTGTCAGCCTGTTATTAATATATATATCATTATTCAATGTCCAATGACGAAAATATCCCGAATTTAAGAGTCATCCCCGGATTAGCAGGCGTGGAAGTGCTACATATCCGGGGTAGTTTTGTCCTTTACTGAACGACAAAGAAACAATTAAATTCCTTGACGTTTCGTAACAACGAGGATATAGTTGTAAAAATTACTCCACGTGCTATTATGCGCTTGCTCAGAGCTGACAGGTACATTAGTGGGCCTTCACTGGCCCACTCACTCACCAGTCACCGTTCACTCCTCACCCTTCCCCAAAAAAAATAAAAAATAAAAAATGACAAATAAAATTAAAACATTATTTACATTTTTGTACACCGACAGATTGTGTGTGTGTGTATTTACAAGTTGTTCTTACATGACTTGGTCCAATTATTTTAATGTTCTTAAAATATAACGAGTCAATATTGAATTGTTCATATGACAGTACAACTTTTAGAACATACGAATAATTGGAATCAAACAATTGAAATGCTAATGAAAATTGTTAAAACCTGGTTGGTATTTCAGTGAATTCGAATGAGTGTTTGTTGACAAGAATGCAAGAAATGTCTTTGGATTACCACTTTACGGTCGAGCAAGAAGTGGGATCATCTACTCATGCTTTCTTTGGCTTCAATGGTAAGTTCATGTACTTAATTGGTTAATTAATTATTTGGTTAATTACTTAATTGTTACTCAACACTAAAGATATTTAAGCTGCAATGTCGCATATATGCACGTGCCTAGCTTTATTATTGAGTTACGTGAATGCTTTTTTGTTTTCGTTTCAAAAAAAAGTGGTTGATGCATATCGAATAATGTAACTTTTAAATTCTAAAATGGCATTCCACTAGTAATAGTTGTTGATAAATTAGAGAAGATTTTAACAAAACTTCGTAATTTCAGGAACTGGTGGTATATGGAGAATAGCAGCAATCAATGAGGCAGGAGGGTGGAAAGATAGAACAACTGTTGAGGACATGGATTTGGCAGTTAGAGCTGGTCTCAAGGGCTGGAAATTTCTTTATCTTGGAGACCTCCAGGTACTAAATCGAATTGTTTGTCTAGTCAATTTGTTTGTTTATCCATTTAGGTTACATTGGTACTTAGTCGTGAACATGTCTACATCTGAATTCGACTCGACTCGACAGGACAAGATTGTACAAGATTTTTTGACAGAAATCTATATGTCAACTTCTAATTATGTTTGGTTTCTCATTAGGTGAAAAGTGAGCTTCCTAGTACGTTTAAAGCCTTTCGTTATCAGCAGCATCGATGGTCTTGTGGTCCAGCTAATTTATTCAGAAAAATGGTTATGGAAATTGCTAAGAATAAGGTTTGTTTATTAACCTTATAATTGCCTTTTGGTTTATTGTACAATGAACTCAAAATCTTATGTTTTTTTACTGATTTTTGCAGAAAGTGTCTCTATGGGAGAAGTTTTATGTAATCTACAGCTTCTTCTTCGTGAGGAAGATCATAGCTCACATGTTCACTTTCTTCTTTTACTGTGTTGTACTCCCATTGACAATTTTGGTACCTGAAGTTAATGTTCCAAAATGGGGAGCCATTTATATTCCTTGCATCATCACAACTCTAAACTCAGTCGGAACTCCAAGGTCGGGTTTTTGTACTAATCGCAATGCTGAATTCGCGTTACCATATAATTAACTAATGAAAATTTTCTTGTTATTCAGGTCTTTTCATTTATTGTTTTATTGGATCCTGTTCGAGAACGTGATGTCTTTTCACCGTACCAAGGCTACCATCATCGGTCTGCTTGAGGCTAAGAGAGCTAACGAATGGGTTGTTACTGAAAAACTCGGAGATGGTCTCAAGAACAAGTCCGACAACAAGCCAGCACCAAAAAAATTCAGATTTAAACTCGGAGACAGGTAAAATCCTTCGACTATGTTATTATTTCGTGATCAAGAGAGGATATATATATATATATATATCTGCGTTTGAATGTTTATGTAAACTGCTCCATGCCCTCATATTGTGCAGAATTCTAATACACGAGCTGGGCTTCGCTGCATTTCTATTCATCTGTGGATGCTACGACTTTCTATATGGAAAGAACAACTATTTCATATACCTATTTCTTCAAGTTATCACATTCACAATCGCGGGATTTGGCTACATGGGAACAATAGTCCTGAGTTAATTAAATTCATGTATCGGCAGAGTCGTGTATTTCTAGTATACACAAATGTATACAAGATTGCTCTAGTTTGGTTAAATTTCTATAATATATTACTCAGAAGGAGAACAAATCATTTGTCTAGGACAGCAGAAATTGATCGAGACTTCTTAAAAATCTAGGGCAAAATGCCCTGGAAACAGCAGGAAGTGTGCAAAAAAGGGCTTGCTGTTTGCATATTATATAGTCAAGAAAAGATTGAAGCAGCAGAAATTACATCAGAAAAACAGAGAACATGCAAAGTAGTGTTTTGTTATCCAGTTTATAGTGCTTGTAGTTGTGTGACATTGTATTTTATTTTCTAACGCATCTTTAGTCATTTTGTATTTCAGATTTTGTATGATTTTTTCCCATATTTCATTTGTAGTAATGCAATATGTTTATCTGGTTATATGTCATATTTAGGGACCATTTGCCCGGATCTATGCTTTAACTTTTGTTTCTTGTAAAAGAGAGAGCTTCTCGAAGAAGTCGCTTTATTTTTTTTTTCTCTAAAAACTCTTTTAATTAGACAAAGCACTTTGAGATAATTATTCCAATAAATTCAAAAGCAACTTTTTAGTAACTTAAATTGTCGTTAGTCGTCATTTTCGAAATTTTCGTAACATTGCAAGCTCTAGTACATAAAGTCCCTGTTTGGTATGGATTAAAATCTAAAATGTAATATATGTCAAAGTCAACAATTAATTTTAACCACATATTTTATGGGATCCACAACTTTTAATTGTACATTTCATCAACTTTTATTAAATTCTATTAAAAATATGATTTCAATCTCAAACATATAGGGGGATAGTTAAATACCAATCGAAATCTTAACGGATTCTTCAACCCATTATGAGAAAAAGGGATTTACCTATACTACAGATAAAAATGAACTTCTTTCACTTATTCGAATAGAAAAATTGTTGAGGAATTACATCAAAACCCTCGAATCTTTGTCCTAACTCGTGGTTATTTTAAGTTACAAAACCAAAATGGTACGAATCAAGAACTGAACTCAAACTTTTCAACGTGCTTACTATATGTTTCGATAAAGACAGGACAAGAAAATAATTATTGTCGCGTCTTTAGGTCTCATTGAAACTCTAATGTTTTTAGTCTTTAAACTCATATCATTGATATAATTATAATCTTATCTTCTATCAAGTACAGGGCTTATTCTAGAAGTCAATATTATAAGAATACTTTTCTCCCCCGGGGTTTAAGCAATAGATTGAGCATGAAATTGCTCAATTTTGTAAGTCTCTTCTCATTTAAGTATTATCATTAGCCTTTCTCACTTCTGCTTGTACTGATGAAAGGGAAGTGCAAGCCCATTATCATTATCTTATCCTAAATCAATGCCAAGTTACAATTTTTGAGGTATCTCAGCGTTAAAGTGATACAAGGAACAACCATGAGCAATAATATTTAATTAGCAAACTATTTGTCAAATAACTATGCACTTATACTAAATATGCCTGATAAACAATGAGTCATGGATTTCATTCCTTCCTCAAAGAGGTTCGGGTCATCATTCTGATAAATCTTCGATCTTATCACTTGAGTTAGGCTTTGATTTTAAACAAGCTCAAGTCATGAATAAGTTCTTTGCCTACTCAAGATTATGACACATCGTTCGGACAATCCGATAGAATTTACGTACGATTTCAGAAAAAGACACAAATTCACATTTCTACAAAAATGAATATCTAATCTTCTTTTGTTGAGGTGTCTTCTCAATCCTGCCGTGCATTACAAACTTGTCCCTCCTCTTTTCCATTATTGCACCAATTCTAACAATGTCAATGAATAATTCCAGGGCAAAAACAAAATGCTTCTTTCTCTAAATGCCCATAATGTAGGGCTGCATTACCATCCAACTAGTTTTATTCAGACTTGAGGTCCTTATTTATTGCATTATCTGGCAGCCTGGACCACCCCCACGGAATATTCTGAATTAATTCAGGTTTAGCTCTTTCGTGTGGATGAAAATTAACTTGTTTCAAAACTTGTCTGAGTTTCAATTAATGATATATGTGCTAAACCATATCATATAAAAGTTAAAAATGGGGGAAAAAAAGGTATATGTATTTCCAAAAATTAATTTAATCGTATTGATATAATTTGTCTTCCATACAATGTTATACAGTCTCATAAACAACATAAGATGTTAGCTATATAATTTTATTTATTTACAACACATTTGTAATAGTGACTCATGCATTTGAAATTGTGGAAATTATACCACACATTACTTTAAAAATTCAACATTCTAAAATCGGGTTGGAAGTTAAATTATTCAAAAATCAGATTTTTTAAATATATTAATTATTTAAATAAACATTAATAATTGTATCTCTAATTAAATTAAACCTACATATTTAGGGTTGGACAAAACTTCTGAGCCGACTTGAACCGAATCAAGCGTTTCTTCTTAAATTAAATACCCAAATGGGTATCTGAATCGAGAACCGACGGGCTCGGTTCGATTCTCGATTCTAATCGAAAAATCGAATCTCTCTAATTTTTTAATTAATTTATTTTAAATAAGCTAAATTATTCTAAATAAATTTGCTAATTAGTAAATTCAACTCAAACACAAAATATATGATTTTCGTATTTCTAATTTTGAGTTCAAAACCAACTTAATTAAATTGATCTGAGTTTTATCTAAATTTGTTATTTTATCGTAGTGTCGTTTCTACTGTTCTGAAAAAATCGAATTGAAACTCGACAACGCCTCTCTTAATTATTTTGAGCTCACTACCTTCTTCTTCATGTGATTTTAGTAATCAAATCTATGAAGAACTCAATAAAGAGAGACGCAAAAGACGTATAAGATTGGACCACGTTATTTTGTAAGAGCTAAGATTAAATATATCATTAGTTAAATTAATGTAATTTTGTAAATATTAAAAAAATTAATTATAATAAGGAACTTGGGAATCGAATGGAATCGAACTGAAACGAATTGAGCCGAATGGAATCAAACTCGAACAATTCTATAATTATATTAGGACTCGACGGTTTCACTTACTAAATACCTGAAATTTCGATTCGACTTACTAAATACATGAAAATGTTAGATCCAATTCAGTTATCCTTAGAACCGAACCGAACTGAATTGGACCATGTTTAGCCCTATACATATTCAACATTTCATTTTCAAACCCTAATTATCTCTCTTATTTTTACTCTCTCTACTGTCTTCCTTCTCCTTCTCTCCTTTCATTCTCCACCAATAATTTTCTTCCCAATCCCATCGGAAGACAAGAAGGCGCCACCAGAGGACCTCCCTGAGCACTATGATGTCATTGTGATAACATCCTAGCTGCCTCAAGTGACAATGTTGAGGCTACTTCAAACTCATCGTTGCTAGGAGTTATTGTCGAAAATTGCCGCCAACAAGATCCTTACACGATTTGCTATTTGCTGCTACGCATTCCTCCTCCTTTCTCCATCCCTGATCCATTTTTTTCTAGGCCAAAGGGTTCTGTGTTATTCGGTTGTGGTGTGATGTGGGTGCATTGTTGT